AAAATTTGGCTTCAATTTAATTGTGGGTAAATTTGAATTAACCCAGTTGTTGGTTTTATTCATTAGAAACAAATTTAACCCAATTTGGGTTAAATGTAAACAAAATTCAAACAAATATAACTAGTTGGTACATATTTTATCCAAATAAGTGTTGAAACAACTCAGCATTACTTTAGAGTGCATGAAAAGCATAACTACAACTACATTTATATCAATACAACATAAATATCTGAATTATTTTTAATAAAATAAATCAACAAACCGTCAATGTGTCTGAATGAGGAAAACATGACATGCATGAAACAGAACAGAACTGAAACAAACATGGCAATGCAGAAGAAAGAGGATGAGCACACACACACACACACAAACACACACTGTTGCAGGAAGTTTATGAATGAGATACACAAGAGTTACAGAAGAGAAAGAGATAGACAGGCCCAACAAAACAACAACATGGACAAACAGTCGAAGTACACACATGATGACGCTCCTGGCTTTCGTATCTACGCTTGTGTAACGGCGATGGGAAACTGTTCATTGTAAGGCACTAGAAAACGACTTGCCTTCAAAGCAGCTTGCAGACACACGCGCACACACTCGCAGACGAACGTCCCACTGTCACATGGATGAACCCGACAGAGAAAGTGCCGATGGATCCAGATTGGGATCAGATGAGGATGATGATAATGAAGTATGTCATGGTAAATGCTGAGCAGAAATGGATTGGCAAACCCAGCACTAGATTACCCAAGGTGCACAATATCATTCGCATCCCTTTCTGACAAATGTTTTTTTTGTTTTAGATTTTTTTGGCATGCACATTGCTTGTGCTGGCCACAGCTGTGCCTCAAGTTCTCACTCATACATACAGGGAAAAAAACAAACTACATTACCCATCACCCCCCTCCCCTTTGTCCGGTTTCCCACACATTAGCATGCACACACATGAAGCTCTATTCTGTACAAAGGGAGACCACAGGAAGTGGCGTAGCTACATAGAGGGTGACTTGTTTTGGCAGCACTCAACCGTTGAAGGAAAGCCCTTATTTCGTATAAAACCGAAAGAAAATACAGCTTTCGTTCCACTGGGACAATATGAAACAAACAGCACGTGCTAAAATGCAAGTGTGTTGTGTATCTAACGATGGGCTACTTGTGTGTTGCGAACTGAAAATGGCTTTCTGTTGGGACTGAAAATGAAGATGCGAGTCAAAAACAAAATAAAAGCATTGACACTGAGAGCAAAAGAGGGTCAGAACCAAACTGATGAACAAGCAGAGCCAAAGAATGATGCACCAGTCTTCATTTCATAACTAAACTCTTTACAGGACAGCTCACTGCAGAATGCAGACATTATTTACTCACCCTAAACCAAAATGCCTTTATTTAATCTGTGAAACCTGACAGAACATAATTTTCAAGCTTCAAAAAGGATGCAAAACGTATTGATTAATGCAGTATTTTTAAAAAAAATTTCCACAATTCAAAAGGTTATCACATCATTGTTTTAAAGTTTACAATAATCTGCTTTATTGAAGTAATTTAAGTGCATCCAAATAGACCAAATGATTTTCAGTAAATGATAAGGAAAAAAATCGTAAACTCAAACATTTTCTTGATTTAAAGCAGATATGTTTCAAATAAAATGCTGCATCTTGAGAAAATAATATAAAATATGAGCTTTAAGTTTCCAGCTAACATGTTTTATGGGTTTTTAACAGGGCAGCTGATATAGACCATTTCAATGTGGTCATGTCATTGGCCCATGAGTATTTCCTACTTGTTATCAAACTATTTCATAAGTGTAACGAGAGGCATTTCAATCACAATTTAATGTTAAAACTGCTATCATAGCCTTATTTATCAATATGTGGCTCTTTTTGGACTCTCAGAAGCTATAGACATTAAAAATGTAAAACGGGAAATACGTTGGGACCATTGTTATTGTTTACATCCCTCAAAATGGTCTATACATATGAAATATTCAATGTTGGATGCACAATTTATGTTTTGATGCCACTTTCAGGGAATAATTACCAAGCAAACAATTTTGTCTTTAATAGATTTCTAATAGACTTCTAAACATATTTGTTTTGGCTAAAACTAGGCCAAATTTAGACTGTCAGTGAAAATCTAATAGACCTCAAAGAAATTAACTTAGACTAGTCGTCAAATAGACAAATTAGACAGATTGTATATCTGTAGTCATTCATTTCGGTTTATTTGATGACTAGTCTACTTTTGGCTTAGACATCTATTAGCTTTTCACTGACAGCCCAAATGTAGCCTTGTTTTAGTCAGGACGACTATGTTTAGACGTCTATTAGACTTTCACTGAAAGTCCAAATTTAGCCTTGTTTTAGCCAAGACGACTATGTTTAGATGTCTGTTAGACATCTATTAGACACCTTTAAAAAACAAAACTGCTTGCTGCTATATGAGCAAAGTCCTGCAAATACTCAAGTGTAAACTGAATTGAGTTTTTGGGAGTTACCAGCATACTAGTGTGGATGTAAACGTGGTCATGGAAATGATATTTTCAGATATTCAGTGAATAATGGTTTTTACTTCAGTCTGTTTCTCTTTCGTATGGCTTAAATACTCATATGAACTACTTGTATGGTGCCTATATGTCCTTTTTGAAGCTTAAACATTGTCATTTATTGTAATATGCAATGATATTCAGATTCAGTTCTCCAGAAGAAAGAAAGTTATAATGGTTTTAAATGAAACAAGGGTGAATAAATGACTGAATTATTAGATTTTACTTTTTTTGAGAGTGAACTGGTCCTTTAAAAACAAACAACCTTCTGCTATCTCTTTTTTTAAGTCAATAAAAACCAAATTTCCTTAATCCATCCATTCCTTGAGCTAAAATGGAGCAAATGTCCTGCATTTCAAGTGTTTTTTGGCAAAAAAAAAAAATACAAGACCAAGAGAACTTGTAAATGGGCATTATATTAACCATGCAAAAAGGTCTACCTAACAATCATGCCTGACGAAAATAAGCCTTCCTGTCCTTTTTGCTAAAGACCTGAGAAGTAGAACAATCCCTCCGATGTTCGATGCAACTTTCTGAACAAGCAGGGTGAGACAAATTAAAAACAAAACAAAATGGCTGCCATCCACTTGAGGAAGCATTCCTAAGAGAGACAGGGAGCCGAGATGGACATCCTGACAGAACTCGGTTGTCATTCTTTCCCTTAATTACTCTCAGAGTAACTGGGATCTTCCCCCATCGTATAACCGTGCCTCCATGTCTTTCAAAAGCCCAGCATATAGCGCAGACATGGGGACTAGTTAAGGCGTAGTGTGACTGAGTCCATCACATTAAGAGAAAGAGAGATAGGTAGAGGGGAAAAGAGAGGAAAGGGAAGGGTTAGTGTGCGACACTAGAACAGAAGGCACTGTGGCTCTGCAGGTTCATCTGGACCCATGGGCATCAAACCAGGGGCTAACTGGGGGCCAGCTGTAGGTAAATGTGGGCCGAACATAAACAAACACCCAGAATACAGTGGTTTCCTCCCTAAAAGTCTTGGATGTGTGGTTGGCAAGGAGAAAGGGGTGAATAAAACGAAACTTAAAAAAAGGTTGATTGGACTTCACATGACTCTGGAACAGAATGATGATAAGAAATAAATAAATATAGAACCGCCCAACTGACTTTGTGATTAGATGGAGTCAATCTGAATAAATCCAGTAAATGTAGAAACCTGCTAAATTCTTTTACTGACTGCTTGAGGATAGATGTTTAACAAAATTAATCATGGGTACACCAAATATATAGTAAATCATAAATGATAGTTACCGTAAGAGATAAAATCTTCTGATAAAGGACCAAACTGGTCTCTTGATTTTCAAATTGATCTAAAAAGACCAAGTCTCTGGTCAAAAGTTGAAGTAAATACAGATGATAGTCTTCTTGAGTTCATTATCTAGCTTTAATTTCAACAAATGATATTTTAAGAGAGACGAAGCTGAGAAAGTCTTCTGAGCTAATAAAATCATCGTCTGCACTTTATTTTATGGAGTATTTGATAAACATTTGGTCTTTTGTGATGTGTTTGTGATGTCAGCTGGACGGATTTAATGACAGTTGGGGAGGCTGAATAGGCTGCACCTCTACACCTCCTGTGAGATATATATATATATATATATATATATATATATATATATATATATATATATATATATAGTTATATATATTTTGGCTGTATCGTTGTATCCTGAGCAGAAGGGGGAGGGTCTCAGATTGAGTAGGCAGCCAAAGACATAGCAAGCTGCCTATGGCAGAAAACAGGAAGGCAGGGTGGAAGAATCATTTCCAGTTACTTATCAAAGACTACTCAGGTCAAAATTCTCAAAAAACTTCTGTCCAAAAAAAAGTCAAAGGCAAGCTTTGACAAACATGCTACGTCACCTGACGGGGGACAGTTCTGCAAACATAATAGTGCCCTCTGGCGAGTGTATTTTCATTCGGGATGGTTTGTCCATAGTCTAGCCTGGCTAAAGTTGCGCAACAGCACCACAACATGGACAAAGAGTAAACAACAACATTCATCGCCCAAAATACTCACTTGCACTAACTCTACTAGCTGTGAAATAATTCAAGGGGTTAAAAACAGACCCTCTATAAAATGGTTTCTCTTGATATCACACTGCTGCGTGACCATCTTCTTCTACTGAGAAATTAATATGGAATGGACCCTGAATTTGTCTGAAAAACTCTGACACAAAAACTGTCCAAGGGTATCCTGAATGGACCGACTCTCTCTTTTAAAAACATTCATGAGCTCCGACCCGAACTATTCACTACAGATAGGAATATTCTACTCAGCTGAGGTCACAAGTACGTAAACTTCAGGATGCGATCAGATGTGCATCCATACAGACTTCAATCTGTGGTGAAAACAAAACTACAAAAAAATAAATAAATAAATAAAGAAAACAAAATGGCCACAACGGACAAAACTCTCGAAAACAAGACAACAAAGTCACATGACCACCTCTATCTTCATTAGCATCACTGTCATCTTCATCAATTGCATTAAGATTTCATCATTACAATAAGACTATTGTTACTGACAATAGCAAATTAAGCCTTAGAAAGGAGAACGTCTCTCGGCCCGTTTCTCTCTCTGTTCGAGGCCATTGCCGACAGAGCCGTAATGAGGGAGGTTTCACGATTCAGGCTTAGTTTTTAGTGCAATCCAAAGTAATAATAAACAGTGCAGAACATCATCTGGGATCCTCAGACGGATATAACATAGAAAACACGTTCAGAGCTGTCTCGCTATCTAGAAAGGTCTGCTATCTATAAACTCCATCTGCACGTAAAGATCTGTAGACATGGCAAGAGCAACAGGGAGAAAACGAGAGAAAGAACTTCCTCCAACTGAATGGAAAAAAGAGAGCTATCACCCCCCTTCCCACAGTAAATCTTCTGTCTGATATATATATTTATATATATTAATATTTTTTTTTAAATCAATCATGCAAGTTTCCATCAGATTTTAGTCCAAAAATATCAAAGAAAGCTGAGCAAATGCAACAGAATAACCAAGCTCCAAATGTTCAAAAAGAAGTAGTAATCAATTGAAGACATTCTGAAGAGAAAATAGTCTTTTTCATCCCTCCCTCATCTGCCGATTCCTTCTTTTCACACTGTCTTTCCTTGTCAGGACTGAGTTGCAGTTTGTGGGCGGGGCTTGGGTGTGCCACGCCCACCCACCTCCTCTTGCCTGCACTGGGTCCTTTCACATGCCACACCTCTTTGACGTTTAACCCCTCCCCCAGGTGATGAGGTCACTCAGCATCTTGAGTTGGTAACAGTAAACGTTGATGATAAAACTCATCGATATCAGCCAGCACATGGGGCTGGTTTTGCAGTAGGTAGAGCTCTTGCTCACAAGAGCACTTGCTTTTTCTTCAACAATCTCTGTTTTTTTCTTCCCATTTGATTTTTAGGTCTTTTCAAGAGGCATAGATGTGAGGGGGGAAAAGGGGGTTCTGGCTTCATTTTTAAAACTCTTTTTTTTTCCTTTTTTTTTTTGATTGACAGAGGATGTCGCTCCTCATTTTTTTTCCCATCAGGCAAGAAGCAATCAATCTTGCTCAGTCTGAGGTGGAGCGTTACACATAACACAGCGACTCTGATCTTTAAAGTTCAGTCCATCCAAACGCAACCACCCCATTGATCTCTCATACGCTCCCATTCCCTTCTTTGGGAGTCAACGTAGTCCAGAGAGCAAGAGAAAGCAATAGAGAAAGAGAGAGAGAGAGGGAGTAGGGAAGCTTAGAGTCCCACGATGGCGCATTAGCCCCGTTCGCTTTTCCCCTTCCCCCCTCTCTCAATGCTGCGCTGCATAAACATCTTGGTTTGAGACAAGTGGGGCCCTCTACTGGCCACCCTGCGCATTAACACCAATCATCCTCGTCCGTCTCGCTATATTGTTCGTGCAACCCCTTCCGGGGCCCACGGCCATGCGGTGGCCGGTGTGGGCCTGGGTGGGGGCCGCGCCGGTGCGGGGAGGGCGAGGAGGAACGGTAGCCGTTAGGCATACGCCGCGGGTGTGGTTGAGGCCCGTGACGAGCAGTCCTTGGTGACCGGGGATGAGGGTGTGAATGTGGATGGGGGTTGCCCTGTGATAAACTCTGTTCGTAGGCTGGCGGCTCATGGTGGCGCTCGTACTCATAGTCCCGTTCGTAGAAAGTTCCATCACCTTCTAGGCTGTCCGGAGGGCCCCAGCGGCCGTGACGAGGGGACCTGGGCGACGTGTGCCTGGGGGAACGCGGAGAGGCATGCCGGGGTGAGCCAGGATGAGGTGAGGCATGGCGGGAGGGTGGACGGTGGTATGGCGGTTCATGACCTGGCGGAGAAAAGTTTCGCGGGGAAGGGGAGCGGAGTCGACCCTGGCCTGGGGAGCCATATGGAGGCTTGCGGACCGCAGGGGAGTAGGTGACGTGAGGGCGTGGAGTGGATGGGGTCTGGGGCAACTGGCGACGGCCACGCCGGGGGGTGCTGGTCCCCGACGTCGAGGGAACGGGGCTTCCGCTCACAGAACTACTGCCCTACATGAAAATTAAAACAAGGCAAATAAAAAAACACCACAAAATTAACGTCAAACAAAAGAGAGGAGCACACACCGGCAAGAGGAGGAAGAGGAGGAGGAGAAGGAAGAGGAGGAGGAAAGTCAAAGGAGAGAAAGGGTGAGGAAGAGAGAGAGAGAGAGAGGTGTGTGTGGAAACAACAACAACAACATCAATAAAAACCAGAAAGAAACAAACCGGCAATGAGGCAAAACAGCAGACACAGAGAAGCCACGAGTCACATCGAGAAAAATGGACAGAAACCACAGTGATAAAAAGAAGATAAACAAAAGAATAACACAAGAAAGAGAAACTGATTTCAGTAAGCAGTCATGATAAAGTTACAGGTGAGCATATGGTTACTGTCTTCCCACATCTGTGTGCTCCAGATACGTTTCATCCTTCAGGATCCCCATGGCAGATTACTGTCAAGATCTAAGCCACGAACTTACCCTTATGAATCTTTATGTGTGCTGTGTGATGATTTCCAAGTGTATGACTACTTTAATGGGGTCATGATATATCATGTTGTATTAGAGATTAGTTAAAACATTTAAAATGCAGGTGACAACTTTTAACATAAAACGTACAATAAAACTGGTAATAATTATAAATATATCTACTGTAGGGTTGTGAATTGTAATCAATTTGGTCATTTAATCCTTATTTAAATGGCTTTGATTCAATTTGCTTCAATTTCATGTTGAATACTTATCAATATTTTAATTAATGTAAGTTTTGAAGACATGGAATCCATTTGTAAATAGCAATGTGGGTAAGGACTAAAGTAATTACACAATTATTGATATTTAAAGGGCCAATTTAATAGTCAAATTATTATGCAGAAAATCAGATTGATATTTTATTATTAATTAACATATTTATTAATTTTGGAACATTAAATGCTTTTAACTAATTTTAAATAAATATTAATTGTATTTTTTATTAAAAATATTCCCATAAACACACATTTTAACAAAATGGCATTTGGCTCTGCCTTTATTATGGTGTTCTAGTAATGTTTCTGCCACTGTCAAACCTCGTTCTGTAAATGTTTTATGTTAATTTTAAAAACGTTTTATGCTATTTTTCCCAAAATGTAAAAAAAGTGTATTATGTAAACAATATGGCCTTCAAAAAGAAAACCTTTGAAAATTACCTGCAATTAGACTTAAAAAGATATTATAATTTTTAATAAAATTTTTATTGACTGTAAAGGTTCATTTTAATTTCAAAAAGGTAATTTACGGTTTGGATGCACATTTTAGACTGTTTTGTAAACAAGTCAAAGACCTAATCCCATTCCTCTTCTTGTTCGTATCACGTGTTCACGTGAAAGGGTATGGGTGTCCCTATTATGTTTTGCTTATGGCCCTTTTCCACTGAGTGGTAGGGTACTGTACGTTTTGGTTCTGTGCGCTTTTATGGCCGTGTCCACTGTTAAAAGGTACCTAAAAGCGAACCGTACCATACCACTTTTTGGGTACCCTTTCGGAAGGTTAAATAGCACAACAAAAGTATACCAAAAGGCGGAGCAAGACGCGCAGCTGAATGCTATTGGTTTACAGAAATCAATCACACCATCGTGCAAAAAGCCAGGAGAATGAAAACAAAAAACCCTCGCCATTTTTAAATACACAGCCGAGAAATTACATCGTAAAAATATTTACATATAATAACGAGCTATGCTCAAATAAACCTTGTCGTCACCTAGATATACAGCCAGAAAGGGGGAAGAGGCAGAAAGGGGTTTTGCGCTCGTGCACGTGCGCTTAGTTTCACATTCATTCGGATTACATTACAATTACATCGACTGAAACTTACACCACGTCCACCAAAAGAGTACCATTGGTACCCTTTTGGCAGAGGAAATGCAAGCCTAATAAAGGTGACCGGTACCATACTGTACCACTCAGAAGAAAATGGCCCATTAGAGGTGTGGGGGTAAAGGTCCTGCAAACAGGACCACACTATAAACAAATTGGTAAAAGAAATTTCGATATGAGCACCATATTCAACAGCGCAGCGCTCACAATGTGTGCTAATGACAACATGATTACATGTTCACACTCTGTTTCAAAGGCCAAGAGAAAGGCGAAGGGGTGAGGGTAGGCGGAGGGGTAGGGGGTATAAAATAGATTTAGGATTGGGCTTAAAATGTGCAAAGAGAGCAGGCTACTACTACAGTAGATCTGAGAGCAAACCTGGAACTCATATGTGCTGTTATTTATTTTATATCTGAGAAAAAAATGTATTCATAACAACTTCAAGTAGGATCTGCAGCAAAAAAACTTTTGGGTTTAGGTGTTTTTGGTTTAGCGAAGATTATTGAAAGAAAAAGATTTAACATGACCCCTTTTAAGCAGTAGTGTGTGTTTAATCTAAAGATGAATGTTTAATTTGTGTGTACTTCAGTGAGTGTGTGTCCCACCTGTCTGTGCCCTCTGCCCTCACTCGGAGAGCGGGACCATTGGCGATCTGATCTGTCTTGAGGATGACGATGGTAGTCGCGCTCGTGACTGTACCGATCTTTATCCACCGAGCCGTGGTGGTGATGATGGTGGTGGTGGTGGCGACGGTCTTTTGCTCGACCCCGTTCTCGTTCCCTTTCTTTAGGTGGGAGGTCACCCGACTGTGTAGTGGTGCTAAGATCTGTACCCAGACCTAACAAGACCAAGTTATGAGTTATCACAGCAAGTTATGAGATATAAACTGAAAAGAGAAAACCTCAAATATTATAAACACAGAATTGTGAGATGAAACTCTGAATAGCAGTATAACCAATACAGCTCTAATATTCTCAATTGTGCTCAGATTTGTGTGAAAAACATAAGAATTGCTGGAAAACTGCAAGCGTATATAGAATAGACAAAAACCGCAAGTTGATAGGCTTACTAGCAATTCAGGCTGCATTTGTAATTTGGAACACAGAAATGATGCAGTTCTTAGAAATCGAATTATTTTCTCTTGCAATTTTGCATTATAAAGTCAGAAACGACATATAAGTGCGGTTTATTTATAAATTAATTTAGAGAGGATCACATGCTTATGATTGAACACGGCTGGTACCGCATCAGCTCTGTATATTGCACCTACCAAATGAATACCAATTCACTATGAATAACCAGAGTTTTCCACTCCAGTCATGTTCGTCTTGCAGAATACCCACTTCCACCCCTACTTCTCCCCTTCTCCAGATAGGGTGGCACAACAGCCCAGTGGTTAGCACTGTTGCCATACTGCAAGAACGCACGCTGGTTCGTCACCTTACCGGGCTGGTCGGCATTTTTTCTTTCTGTGCAAAGTCTGCATGTTCTCACCATGCTTATATGGGTTTTCCCCGGATTTCCCGGTTTCCTCCCACCATCCAAAGACATAACACCATAAGTAAATTGACTACTCCAAAGTAGCATCTTAAGACAAACTCTTAGCCAGCATATCTCAGCACAATTACGAGCAGGGGAGTTTTTGAGACCTACCTGTGCTCAAACTCCCCTCTTATCCTTCATACCGGAGGGAGCCCTGAGCTCTAGGATATTCTGAGCTCAGGGCTGTCTTGTTGCCAAATACGCTTTTTTATCAATCATCAGCTAAGTATGAACTCGAGAAATAGTCAATATTGCAAGACAGACAATTAATTCCAAACAAAATGAAAGTTGCAACTTTGAACGAAGAGTTGTAAACTTTGAACTGCAAATGCCTATAAACTCACATCGCCAAAAAAATAAAGTTTTGAGGTAAAAAAGACAGAACTGATAAATGAAAGTTAGTTATCAGAGGATACTTTTCTTACTTAAGATTTTTTTGTCTTGTATCTAGTCCAAATATGTAAAAATTCTTAAATCAAGAAGCATATTCTAGACAGACAGAAAGAAGGTCACTGGTTTGAGTCCTGGTTGGACCAGTTGACATTTCTGTGTGGAGTTTGCATGTTCTCCCTGTGTTTGTGCGGGTTTCTTCCAGGTGCTCTGGTTTCCCCCACAGCTCAAAGACATGTGCTGCAGGTGAACTGGATGAACTAAATTGACCATAGTTCATGAGTGTGTGTGTGAATGTGAGTGTGTATGGGTGTTTCCTAGAACTGGGTTGCGGCTGGAAGGGCATCTGCTTCATAAAACATATGCTGGAATAGTTGGTGGTTCATTCTGCAGTAGCAACCCCTGATAAATAAGGGACTAAGTTGAAGGAAAAATGAATGAATGTTCTAGATAAGCAAACAATCTTTCTTGTTTTAGGAAATAATAAAGAATTGAGTTTTTCCTTATAACAAGCAAAATAATCTATAAGTGGTGCTCGCTGCAGAGCCATTTGGGCGAGCTGAGCTAAAGCGAGGGGGAGCTTGAGCTCCACCTTTTTTGCACTTCTTCTACGAGTGATGTCACTGGGGGTAGGGTTAGGGGTGGGGTTGGTGTACGCATTAAAACAGCTTACAGGAGGAGGAGCGAGAGCTCATGCTCCCCCTCGCTGGAGCTCAGCTCTGCTCAAATGGCTCTGCAGCGAGCACCCTCTCAAATAATCTGCCAATGGGCTAAGCAAAGTAAGTGTGCTTTGACACAATCTACATTGTAAAAGTGCTATTGAAATAAAGATGAATTGAATTTTTCAGTTACAACAAGACAGTGTGATTTGCTTGTCTAGAAAATGCTTATTAATTTAAGATCTTTTAAGTATTTGGACTAGAAACAAGACAAAAAAATGTCAGTAAAGAATGTTTTGCAGTGTTGGCAAACTGACAAAAAACTTAAACTCACAATTCTCTGAAAAAAACAAACAGAACTGTGAGAGGTTTACTTGCAATTTTAAGTTTGACCCATTAAACCCACTAAACCCATTAGTTAGCCCTGCTAACTTAACTTGAGCTTAAAAAAAGCAGAGACCCCATTGTTCCTCTTAGTACCGAATGAACATCTGTATACAGTGGTCCCTCATTATAATGAGATTTTTTTTTGTGCAAATGTGTTTAACAGCACATTGTGTTCTGCGTTCTGATTGGCTGTAGAACATTGTCAATCAATCTTCTCTGTGTCTCCTGTACAGTACAGAATGCGTTCAGCTTGCCAAATGAACATAAATGTTCAATTGCTAGCAGTGTAACTGTCTGCAGCAATATCCATCAGAAAGGAAGTTGCACACTGGATGTGTGGCGCCACGTAGTGCCATGCATTTTAAAATTGTAAACATACGTTTATATCAGGTTATGCACACCAGCACCACAAGTCGGCGGCTGTCTGTGGTGCCCAGCTACTTTTCAGGACATATTTCGCTGTGCGACTCCCTTAAGGATGGAGTCTGCTTTAGTTTTGTGGATCAGTGACTGCAGTAAATAGAACATTACGCTGCCAACATTATCCGCACAAAAGCTAAAAGGTTTTATGAACCTTTTGCTGACAGAGATGAATGTTTGCGCCCGATGAAAGGTTTTGTTCTTTGGTCTCATTCTATAATACTGGGGTTATTTTTCTATGAAACTTTGAACTTTGAGAGAGTTTAAAAAAAGAGAGAAACGTGTGAAAATGTTAATGTCTGTCTGAGAAAAGTGTATAAAGTGTGTAGTGAAGGGTTTTACCGCATTTTAACATCTATAATAATTGTAAAAAATAAAGCTGACTACTTTGCAGATTTCGCCTATTGTGGGTTATTTTTAGAATGTAACTCCTGCGGATAACAAGGGACCACCGTACATCTTGATGATGAGATGTTTGTGGAGTGTGTGACCTGTGTCTGCATCTGTATAGCGAGCGAGGGATC